TCTCTCTCTATATATAAGCTTTACTGGTTTTTTTTCTCTAGAGAACCCAGTCTAACACATTTGGTACCGAGAGTGGTTCTAGAGAGACAAAATCATAAGGATGGGCTTCCTAAATTGGTTCTCCAGTTTGATTAATCTTAAAGACACTAGCAACCCGGCCTCTGTTACTAAAGAGGGCCCTGCTAATCCATAGTGTGGGGTGGCAACATTAATATGTGAAATAACACCACCAATAGATCAAGTACTTGTGAGAGGTGACACTCTGGGTGGTCGGATATTTGATACTTTTCTGCAATTTTGTCAGCATGAGGAATATAAGGAAGCTGGTTGGTTGGTGCTACTTACACTAGACAAAGTGGTGAAAGAGTGAGATGAGCTCAGAGCTGCTGAGTCTTGGCTTAAGCGTTGCATAAAAGACCTCAGTGCTTTCAGTTGTGCTCTGAAAGAATGTCTTATATCTTCTAGTAACAGAGCAGATATTGCTGAAAACCAAACCCAGAGTCTTATTGTAAGGGTGGCTGAGTTACAATGTCAATTAAATTGCCAACCCAGAATGGTGTCTGAAGTTAAAGTGAAGACATTGATTGGGAAAATAATGGGATCCTGAAACTTGGAATGGGGAAATATGGGCAGAAGATAGTCAGGAAGATCAGGATATGGAGCCTGTAAATTCTGTTGAATCCCTCCCATCTGAAGGGATTACTGTAAAGCCATGATCCCTTCCACCTCAGTTTGATGGGATTAGTTAAGTCCAAGTGAGCCCCAAAAGGTGAAATAGAAAGTGTGACTGAGGAGGTGGTACGCCATATCTGAAAAGACAAATAGGTCTTTTCAATCAAGTAGGCTTTTGCTAACATGTACAGACAGAAACCTGGAGAATATGTGTGGGAATGGCTACTGAGGGTGTGGGATAATGGTGCAAGGAATATAATATTGGATCAGTCTGAGTTTATTGATTTAGGCCCACTAAGTACAGATTCTTCATTCAATGTTTCAATTCCAGAGGTTAGGAAAGGATCTAATAGTTTATTCAGTTGGCTTACTGAGGCATGGATTATGCGGTGGCCTACCTTAAGTCAAGTTGAAGTACCAGACCTGCCTTGGTTTAATGTAGAAG